CATTCATATGTATAAAAGGACACAGAGATCATTTGAAGAGAGTCCCTTCTGTGAAAGATATATCAAATTAACAAAAAGGGAGAAAAAAGATTCCAGAGGAACACAAAACAGAACTTCAGAAAGTATTTATACCCTCCGAGACATTTAGAAATGTATTTCACCCATGAAACAAGAACAGGATGCTATGAAAAATGAACAATCAGAGGAGAAGAAAAACAGTCTTGGGAGTTATAATATGGTTACTGAAATAAAAATCCAAAAGACCAGTTAGAGGATAAAGTTGAGGCACTCTTTCCAAAATAAGAAAAAGGAAAATATTGGAAAAAAGTAAGAGCATATTGAATCAATCCAGAGTCCTAAAACCAACTAATAAGAACCCTAGAAAGAAAAATCAGAAAGCAGAGGGGAGAAAATTGTGAAGGAACCGATGCTAATTGGTGTGCATCTCTAGAGTGAAAGGGCCTTTTAATTACCTAGTACAATGTATAACCCCTGCTACACTTAGACACATTTTATTTTATTTATTTTTTTCAGACAGGGTCTCACTCTGTTGCCTGGGCAAGAGTGCAGTGGTATAGTCAGAGCTCACTGCAGCCTCAGCCTCCTGGGCTCAGGTGATCCTCCCACCACAGCTTCACAAGTAGATGGGACCACAGGCACAGACCACCAAACCTGGCTACTAAAAAAATTATTTTTGTAGACATGAGGTTTTGCTACGTTGCCCAGGCTGGTCTCAAACTCCTGAATTCAAGGGATCCTTCCACCTCAGCCTCCTGAGCAGCTGGGATTACATGCATGTGCCACCACGCCTGCTGAATTTTTTTTTTTTTTTTCGGTTATAGACAGGGTTTTGCCATCTTGCCTAGGCTGGTCTCAAACTCTTGGGCTCAAGAGAGTGGCTCACCTTGGCCCCCTCAGAATGCTGGGATTACAGATGCGAGACGCTAAGCCTGGCCAAAAATCATTCTTTACTTCATTCAAGAACTTTGAAAACTTACCTTTCCTTAAGTTAGTTAAGGATGCTCAAGCAAAGTGAGAACATATGCCAAGAAGAAGAAGACAGTGAGGTCCAGGGAATGATGAGTATTATCCACGAATGCAGTGGAAGACAGTCTCGGAGTGACAAGTCCACAGTGAACAGGAAAGGGAATGTCTCTGTGTTCAAAGGGAGCTCAGGAGATTGCCTGCATGTGGGTAAAAGAGAACAGTACAGAAGGCTTTAAAGGGAAGTGCAGCCATTTTCCCCACTCTCATGCCTGCATGCTCTTCTCCACGTAGGCCTTTGTTCCAGTATTTAATTCCATCTTCTAATAATATGTGTCTATTGCTATTTTTTGATTTACCAATTTTGGACATTATCTATTGACCTGCTGTGATAGATGAGCTTTTTTGGCTCATGCCTCTTTACACATCCTTCTCAAAATATAGTCCAAACGGTATGTTTAGGCCTTTTGTTGTTTACCTTTGTAACTCTAAGGCATATACATGAGGATGGGCATACACACACACACACACACACACACACACACACACACACACACACATATTTCTTGTGCTACTGGAAAAAGTAACTTTTCGCTCCCTATTGTATAATGGGAAGCCACACTTACCCTCAGTTCTGTTTGGCTCTTCCACTTCACTCTGTCTTCTACAGTTTTATGTCATCAAGGTTAAAAATATTTACATTCTGTTTCCTAGGCACAATTACATCTGGCATTTTAGACTATAGATCAATTCTAAAGTTGAAATAAACATATAGTGTTTATATTATACTTATTATGTAAAGATTACTGTACCACTAGACAGTATAGGGAGATTCTTTCTTTCTTCTACAGATTTTTCCCCCTGGGATTTCTAATTGCCTTTCCTTTAAAAAAGATGTATTTGCATAAGTGTGTGTGTGTGTGTGTGTGTGTGTATTTGTAGACATGGGGTTTCACTATGTATATCTTTTAAAAATATATATCTATATATATATATGTCTATAACTATATATCCATGTATTATTTAAATACACACACACACACATACACACACATATATGTTACAAAGGTAAATAACTGAAGTAGTAAAAATCCTGTTTGAGAGTATTGTGAAGTGGTAGGAGATAAAAGCTCATCTGTTGTAGCGGAGAGCCATTAGGTAATGTCTAAAATTGGCTAAAAACAAGACATAGCAATAGATGCATATAATTTAAAGACAGAGCTAAAAACTAAGATAAGACATTAACAGATTTAGTGGAGATTGCCTTAGGGGGAAGGGGTATGGTTTTGTTTCATTTTAAGCCTCTGTGTACTGTTCTTTTTAATTTATGTGCACATATGAATTTGATTGAAATTTAAAACAACTTTTGTAAAAGGAAGAAAATACACCACAATCGTGTACTATAATGAGCACTATCCTTGCTATTGGGATATCTGAATTCTGGTCACTTAAGTAAAATTCTACTGAAATATTTTTGCACAGTTTCAATAGAAAATGCACAGCTTTGCCATCAGAAGACATACATAACCTTGATCTTGCTGTGGCGGTTTCCATAAGTCAAATTTACCTTGGAGGTGACCTTGCATGTATATTACCATTGCTGTTCTAAGGCTCCATGTGAATCAACACAAAGGATGGCTTCCTCCTCCTGTGGTGGAATTGAAACCCATGATGGAGGGGTGCATGCAGTGTCTGCTGCACTTGGCCCCTGCAACTCAGCTTTGGGGTCCACAGCACAGTCCCTTGGGGTCTGCCAGGAGGTGGGACCCACCAATCGGGGGAGGAGGGGACTCAGTGGCCCGAGGACCATCCTCCTCAGGCGTCCTCCCCAGCCCTGAGCTGGGGCTTCCTCATCTGCCACTGTGGCTGAGCAGTGATTAATGCCAAATTAGCACCTTGCTCAGTGACCTTTCAGCATTAGCCACCGCCTTCCTTCACTTCTCATAACTATTTGCAAATATTAGCTTCTCCAGTCGTTTCTTCCTCATCAGCAACATTCACAGATGACAGGCCGTTAGTCTGACAGGCATTCCGTTTATGTCCTTTGCCCCATCATGTATGTCTGAACTCTGGCATCTTGTCAGAAATCTCCTAACCAGCCCAAGAATCTCTGCAATTTTACAAAGGGAAGGCATCAGCAGGAAGGTATCCAGAGAAACTTGGAGGGTTGGCTAAGAGGCCGAGAGTCTGGGGAAGGGGCAGGCTGCCTCAGCCTCCCAGGGAAGCAGGGGCTGAGTGAGAGTCAACTTCACATCATGCAAGCAACACACAGGTTTTTTTTACAACGTTAATTAGTTGGCTCTGTCTGCATCAAGGCTTTGTTTTTCTTTTAGAATTCACATGCACCTTTAATTCAAAAATCACATACTGCTCAGGCAGTGCTAGCCAGAGCACAGAGCTGTGGGAAATCGGTGTTGATGAGAAGCCAGTCCTCTCTTTCCTGTTGTTCTCTCTCAGAGGCTCTCATTCCATCACCCGCCAGCAGGCTAGAACCTTTCGGTTGCCAGAATCCTTCTCCACTGCTCACAAGGTGGTGGGTCCCTTCGGTATGAAGCACAGATGAAGCGTTTTGCATTTATAGTTATTTAAATTTATTTTTATTTCTAGCCGCTTATATCTCTGCCCCTTATTGAAATTCCTGTTCTAGAAGTGTTTGATTGGTCATCATTTTCTCTAAATAAACAGTAGTAAAGTATACTGAGGGTAGTTTAATTTTGATGTTAAATGTATTTTGGAAAAAAGCGGCAAAAATGTGTCCTATTTTTTTTTCTCCCTTGTCACCAGAAGTATGAGCTAAATTATTTATAGTTTGATACTCAAAAAACATAGATTCAGGATATTTACTTTACAGAAAGGAAAAATGGATTGAAACTGCAGTAATAGAACTGAACACTTTGTTAATTGAATATATTGGCTCCAAGGAAACACATTTGGACACGAGTAAGAATGCCCACTGCTTTCCAATGACACCATGCCTGACATAGTGCCTGATATGTGAAATATTTATGGAACTGAACACATTCCAAAATAGAAGGTAGACTAGGTAACTCAGTAAGCAAAGTCTTAAATCAATAAAAGAAAAAGGCAGCAAGCAGTTTGGAAAATGGCAAACAGTTTAAATAAAGCCCCTTAGCCACACAACACACAGAGCAGTGGTGTAAGGTGCTGTGGATTCTGCCAGAGGACACTGGCTGTGCCTGGACCCCAGCTCCTGTGGTCTGAGAAAGGCCATTGGCAATGACCCTGCCCCGGCGCTTCTCATGGGGGCTCAGGTAGGGCCATGAGATTTGGGTTTCCTGTTAGCGTGGCTTGACAATAGTCTCGTTTGTCATGCTCCAGTCATCCGATCTCCTGTCTGCCCCAGCGCTTCTCATGGGGGCTCAGGTAGGGCCATGAGATTTGGGTTTCCTGTTAGCGTGGCTTGACAACAGTCTCGTTTGTCATGCTCCAGTCATCCTATCTCCTGTCTGCCATTTCACTTTCCGCGGTTTCTGTTACCCTCAGTCAATCACGGTCCAAAAATAGGAGAGTGCAGTACAGTAAGATGTTTTGAGAAACGGGGAAGGACCGCATTCATGTAACTCTCATTACATTATATTATAATTGTTCTGTTTCATTGTTAGTTGTAGTTAGTCTCTTAGTGTGCCTCATTTACACATGTATGGTAGGTATGTAAGCAGAGCAAAAACTTTTGAACACATTCTCTTCTACTCAGAATGGACTTATGTTCCAGTAAACTAATTGGAAGTTGAAAATATCGAAAGTCAAAAATGCATTTTTGTAGCCCTGTTATATGTCGAGGAGTGAACTAAATGTGTGTGGCTTTCGCACCATTATAGAGTTGAAAAATCCTGAGTGGAACATCATACATCAGGGATATTGTGTATCTGTAGGGATTGGTACTCTCTTCTGTTTTAGGTGTCCACCAGGGGTCCCTGGAACGTATCCTCCTCAAATAAGAGCAGGGTGCTCCTGTACTTAGAATTTTATGGATATTTCTGTTTCCTCTGCCACAGGAGATATTGGCACACCTGAAACGATGGCCCCCACCATTGTGGTTCCCCCGGGCAACAGAAGTGTGGTGGCTGGATCCAGTGAGACCACCTTGGAATGCATAGCCAGTGCCAGGTACGAGGGGTGTCTCCTATGAGAATCCTAATAAATATTACACAACCTGTGATGAGCTGACGACAGAAGGAGACACTGGGGCATGGGGTTCATCCTTCTAGCGACAGTGGTCTTGTTTGTCCAGATGGGCCGTGAACACGATATATGGGTAGATAAGGAAATGGACATGCTGACGTCTTCCAGACCCCGCACTGGAACAGGGCGGCACTTTCAGTGTAGCTCTGGGTGGTAGTGGGGCTCCTCTGAGACACTCTCTAGGCAAAAAGGAGGAGTGGAGGCAGAGGAAAAAGTTCATTGCTCTTCTCCCTGTCGTCATCCAGGGTGTTCTCTGCCTCCTTAGTGGTCACTTCAGAATCAAGTTTGGACCATCCTGCCTTCCATGTAGCTGTGTCCCCTCATAGTATTTATTTTAAACATCCTTTTCCTGAGCAAACAGAATCATTAACACTCATGGTCCATTGCTGCTGCAATTATCTATCCTTGCTCAATAGCCCTTGAGCAGAATGCATCATTGATGCATGCTAGGAGGGAGTAGAGTTATTTCTGGATTGATTTTTCAGTGTCCTTTGTTCAACCTGCCATGCTTCCTGGTAGACTTAGCTTTGTCAAGCCTGGTGCTGAGTACCTGAGGCAATGATCACTGCCTACATGAGTCCCAATCGTCGTCACAAACGCCTTTCACTCCCACAGACCTGTGGAGGAGCTGAGTGTGACCTGGAAGAGGAATGGAGTGAGAATCACCAGTGGCCTCCACAACTTTGGAAGACGCCTCACCATCAGCAACCCGACGTCTGCAGACACTGGGCTGTACGTCTGCGAGGCGGCGCTACGCGGGAGTGCTTTTGAACCAGCCAGGGCGAAGGCCTTTCTTTTCATCATAGGTAATGCCCGTGCCACTAAGTGGTGTTGTCAGCATCTCAGATAGCATCCAACACTGACACTTCTGCAGGAACAAAATAGCCTATTTCAGTGACTTTATTTGTGACTCGGTAAATGAAGGTGAGGTTGAGTTTATCTTCCAAATCCTTCCTAGTCTTCTTTCCCAAGAATATAAGTCCATTAAATTCAAAGCATTGTTGTTCTGAATATTTTCAAGAAATGTCCTTCTGAATTCTCCAGTCCTGAAGCTTGGGAAATAGATCAGTGAAGCCCCTGTCATATAGATCCCTCTCCTATTCTGGCTTTTAGGCCACTAAGCCTTTCTATAACTCTTACTTGGCTGTCATGATCAGTGTTCAGAAATTATTCTATTATTGCTGGCCGGGTGTGGTGGCCCTCATGCTTGTAATCGCAGCACTTTGGGAGGTCGAGGTGGGTGAATCACTTGAGGTCAGGAGTTTGAGACCAGCCTGGCCAACATGGTAAAACCCCGTCTCTACTTAAAAATACAAAAATTAGTCAGGTGTGGTGGCACGCATCTGTAATCCCAGCTACTCAGGAGGCTGAGGCAGGAGAATAACTTGAATCCAGGAGATGGAGGTTGCAGTGAGCCAAGATTGCAGCATTGCACTCCAGCCTGGGTGACAAGAGCAAAACTCCATCTCAAAAAAAAGAAGAATGAAATTATTCTATTATTGCTATTATTTTTTTGACCTAGGAGAAAGTTTAAAACTATTGGATGGTACCTTCTGTTAAACTAGAAAAAAAAAAAGGAGAACAGAGATGCTTCCTAAAACTGGGTAACATATTACTCCTGAACCAAAGAGAGGGAGGACATAAAATTAAGTCCGTTGGACTTGCCCAGCGCTAAATGCTGGAAAATATTACCGTTTAGGGAGTGTGCATTGTACAGTGGCTAAGGAAATACTAAACTTATTTTGAGTTTATGATAAGATTAAATTGTGAAGCAAGTGCCTTTATTTCTTTCATTTCTGCAGCTACTGTCATGGGTTTATTCTTAAGTGGCTGTGATGACTATCAGAGTGACCTGTCTTCTGCAGTAGCAGCCACTGTTGATAAGAGGGAGCCATAGAGGCCCCCTCTAGGAAGGAGAATCTCTACTTCATCTCTCCTTTTTGAGAATAAGGGAAATTGAGAACAGGAAAATTCAAATAAGAAGAAAACCCTCAGAGAGCCCCTTAAATAAAAAAATTTGCCGCTTTGCAAAATAAGAAAAAAAAAAGCTTGTATTTTCCTATAAAATTAGCAAGAGTATCAAGGAATACTGCATAAAAGGCAGTTTGCCTTGATCACATTCCTCTAATCATTAGGAAATGGCTCTGTGTCCTAACTGAGACTCTTCTAAATACAGTACTCTCTCTGAAAGAAGAGAAAGGGGGTTAAAAGCATCAGTGGAAGCCGGCTTTGAATCACCAGTCACTGTGGATTCTACATGAGGGGCCTAAGCTGGTATTGCTACCTTTCTCATCTGTGCTTCCGCTGTAGATGTAAATATCACATCCCATTCTCTGTAAAGACTTTTTCATCAGGGTTGATCTATAGTTATATGAGCACAGCACATTATAGATTGAACCAAAATTAAAATTTGTGATGTGTAAATCTCTAGTAGACAGACTATACTATGTTCAAACATTTTAAGATAATTTAAGCAAGAGAAGAAATTTATCTCCCTGTAAAGTAGAATGTTTGTTTCGATCATAATTCCTTTTTAAAATAGTTAAATCTATCATATGAACTTTGGTTTTGCATTTACATCTGAATTCCAGAGCAGATTGTTTTTGTGTTCTCTGGAGTTAGCACCTCTCCGTGTTCTGACTTTTAAAGGTACAAGAACACACTTCACTTCTTTATGATGTTGATTTAAATCCCCTTTTATTCTTAAGAATTTGCTGTGACAAGTAGGATTTTGTGGTTGGCGCATACTGCAAAAGCTCTGAAGAGAGTGTCTCTGTCAATTATGAGGGATTTGGATGAGATTATAACCCCACGCCCTGCGGCCAGAGCATTACCCGTTTCACAGGGCTGTCACTGTGGACCTGTCGAAAGAGCCATCCATAGGAGCACACAGAGGAAAGATGGAGAAACAAATTGGCTCCTATTACTTGTATTTTATACTGATGAGACAAGACAGGTTAGAAGTACTGTTTGCCCCACCTGCCCAGTCCCCTGCTGTATTGCTTAATTTCTGTGGCTTAAACAGGGAGCACAGAGGTGGCTTCCATGCACCACCCTGCCATTGGCTGCTGTGTCCTGTGGAGCAGTCTCTCTATGCCCTCCCTTCCCACCTCCCCTCTACACCCTCTGCTCTCCCCTCCTGCTTCCCCTATATACCCTCCCCTCCTGCCTCCTCTCCATGCCCTCTACCCTGTCCTCACACTTCCCCTCTATGCCCTCCCCTCCCCTCCTGCCTCCTTTCTAAACCCTCCCCTTCTGCTTCCCCTCTAAGCTCTCCCCTCCCCTCCCTTCCCACCTCCTCTCTACACCCTCCCCTCCCCTCCACTCCAACTTCCACTTCCCTTCTATGCCCTCCCCTCCCTTTCTACCTCTTCTCTGCCTCCCCTCTACTCCATCCTCTCCCACTTCCCCTCTACGCCCTCTGCCCGCCCCTCTTGCTTCTCCTCTACACCTTCTGCCCTCTCCTCCTGCCTCCCCTCTACATGGACACACACACCCACACCCCCCCACACACACATACACACTCACTCCATGCCACAGCTGTTTCCAGAACACAAGGAGGCTGCAGCCCAGCAGAGCCCTCACCTTTCCGGCCTCCATGTGTGACTTCCAACTGCAGGTGTCCCCCTGTCCTCCCTGGCAGCATCCTTGGCCCGGAGCCAGCTTGCCCTCTGCAGCAGGTGGAAGTGCTAGGGGCCGACACCCCCAGGCACACCCTCAACCAGTGTCTGAGGGGAACTGGTGGGTGGATATTCAGGCCCCTTAGCTACCCCTCCTCTACATTGGCTCCCAGAGTGTCTCTGGTCATGAGGCTGCAGCCGCCCACCTGGGAGCTGCCAGATAACAGGCTCTTTGTAGCCAACCCCATACTCTCCCAGTGGTGTTTCCATCACCGCCCAAGAAACTGCCAGCATCAAACCTGTCTCAGGAGGGCCTGCTTCTTGGGGAGGCCAACCCAAGTCTGGGTCTGTTCCTGCAGACCCTGTGCACCTGTTCATGACTGTGCCTAGGAGGAACCTGCTTCCGGCCCCAGTGCCATCTCCCCTGGTTGGCGAGGGCTGTGTGTTCATGACCCACCTGGTTAGTGAGGGCTGCTCGACCATGGCTCCCCTGGTTGGTGAGGGCTCTGCGTCTGTAACACCCCTCAAGCATCCCCTCTGCTGTGCAGCCCTGGGATGCTTCACCCTGGGGGAGACTACTGCACTCTCAGCTGGGCTCTTGCAGCCTAGGGGATGTGCCGGGGCATGACGTAAAACTGTGGGCTCTGGGGACACAGTGGGGATGTCATGGCATGACATAAAACAGTGTAGGCTCTGGAGACACAGCGGTGGCAGCGTAGCATGATGTCAAACAGCACAGGCTCTGGGGACACAGCAGGGCCAGTGTAACATGACATCAAATAGTGCGGGCTCTGGAGAGAGAACCAGGGTCCATTTCTTACTGCACCATTCACTGGCCTGAACGAGTGTTGGCCTCAGTTTTCACATCCATGAAACAAAGGAGATGTAGAGGATGCCAGCTCATACTGTGAGTTAAATGCAATCATATCTGTCATGGAAGCACTGAATGGTGGCTTTATTTGCAGTTCGCATAACTCCTCTATTATCACACACGTCCCATTGTACTAGCTATTTACCAGTAATCAGTTACGTGACATACATTTTTCATGTTTACTGTCTCTGGAATCAAGATGTGTCTCACCACCTATGACCCATTTTTTTTCCTTGGGGTTAAGTAAGATAAGGATGTGTCTGTGGGATACATCTTTCCCTCCAACACATGGCTTCCACATTGTCTCTTTATCACACATGAAGCCAGCAGCTCCCACACGTGCCCTGTTCCTGCAAGCATGCAGATGCCAGCATGCCAGCTCGGGAACTCAGAGGGCAAGTTTTGACTGCAATAGACTCTTACCTGGTGGGGCATCTGCTGCCACCCCCTTCAAGTTGTTCATGGAATTCAGTGCATGTGGCTGGAGGGCTGGCTGCTGGCCAGGGGTCCCATCAGGGGCTCCCACATCCCTGGCTCATCTCCAGAGCTGGCAGCTGCAGCCGGGTTCTTGTCACACATCGAAGCTCTCTGCTCTCCTCTGTGCCACCAGATGCAGAAAGATCTCTCCTTTTAGGGGCTCACATCATTACACTGGGCCCACCCAGCTAATTCTAGGCAGTCTCCCTATTTTGAAAGGTTGAATACCTAATCCCACTTGCACAGTCCCTCTTGGGGACTGTAATACAGCATAGTCATAGGTTCCAGGGAGGTGGGTATGGACAACTGTGGGAGCCATTCTGCCCACCGCAATGGACTAGCGTGCAGTGCAGGCCAGCCAAGGGCACACGTGGGACTTGGTGCTCCTAGAGAGGGGTGATCTGGAAGGAACAGGGAGGCAGTGCAGAGAACATCTTTGGGTCTCACAGTGATTCCTACAAAGGAGCACAGGAGAAGCCTTGCAACTCAGAGGCCAAAACCCAGCAGCATCAGGGGTAGGAGAGCAGGACAAATGTGTGGTTTTGCGGGGACCATCTCCTCCATGGCTGCCTCTATCAGGCCCAAGCCTGCAGTTTGGCACACTGGCATTTTGGAGAGTGGGGTCATCTGATAGAGGCCCCTGGTTTGGGGGCAGTCTGGGAGGTATACCCACCTCCCGTCCTAAGACTGGGGAGCTAGAAGCTTGTGCTGACCCTGGAGGCAGCTGCCATGGGCTCTGGGCCATGTGGAAGGCAAAAAGCCTGTGCTGGCCTTTCCCTAACATCCTGACTTCACGCAGAGCATGAGAACCTTTCCCTGATGTTTTCATATTGTTTCAAAAGAGGGAGAAGTGTTTATTTCAATCCCCGGTGTTTTTGGCTACAGTCAGGATCAATTTTCTGAAGTCCAGGGTGGGCCCATGTTGGCAGAGTACCCTTTCTAGACAGAGTTCTGCTGATTAGCTAAGATATGCCCTCGCCCTCTTGCCCTTTGAAGAGTAAGTGGTTGAGCGTCTATGCACAGAATGACTAATTCAAAACAGATTTTCCCCACTGTTTAACTCACAGCCTTTTCATGGTCAATAGGCTTAGGGATTTCTCCACGTTTTTTCCTTAGAGCAGACTATGTATAAAAATGTAGCTGGAAATGGGGAGAAACCCCAAATAATAGGAAGGGTTGGCAGGGAGAAAAGTCGTAACCTCACACAGTAGGGAGGTACCAAGGGGAGCTCCGAAGCTGTGCAGGGCATGGGCAGCTCCACACCTGTTCCCTGTGCAGAGCTCCCTGGAAGTCTTTCCAGAACAAGGTAAGAACATCCACAATAAATAGCCAGATGTTTTCCACCCATGCCTAGCACTCAGCTACTAAAACTGCTCAGGACTTTGACCCTTGCAAGCAGTGGCAGGCTGCCCCCCAGACCTCATCCAGGCCACAGTACGATGGAGAGTATGGAGTGGGGTAAATTTTCCCACCAGACGGCATGCTGTGCGCCAAGCGTCGCTGGTCACTGGCTGGGGTAGAGACTAGCCTGGTCTGGGCTTAGAGGTCCCCAGAGCAATGCATTTGCTCAGCCAAGCCAGCTTCTGGTCACTTTGTGGAGTGCCCTTCTCCCTGACCCCAGCGAGGTCTCTTCCTGGTGCTTGAGGGAAGCCTCAAGGCACTGTACCAGGGGACATGGGTAATCAGTACCTCGGGGAAGGTACCGTGGGCCCATAGGCCCTGACCATTTGTATATATGGATTTTGTACCACCAAAGCACAGGTCATCTTGGGTTAATCTCAAGGGAACCATGAAGATTGAAAAAAAACAGTTCCAAAGGTTACACTGGATGACCTCCTTTCTGTAACATTCTTGAAATGACAATGCTACAGAAACAGAGAACGGATTAGTGGTTGCAAGGGCTGGGAGCTTGGGGTGTTTGCAGTCTTGGAAGGCAGCATCCTTGTGCTGTTGGACAGGTGGACCTACACACATGATAATGTTGCATGGAACGTGCATGTGACTCTTCCACCCACACACTTGAGTGCAGGAACCACTGGCAAGAGCTGGATAAACAAGGCTGATTGTATCCGTAGCAATATCCTGGTCATGATGTTATACTGTCTTTTTGCAAGATGTTACCATTGGGGAAAGCTGGGTGAAGGGTCTATGAGCTCTTTCAGTGTTACTTCTCACAACCACACAGGACTCTACAGTTTTCTAAAAAGAAAATGTTCAACTAAGAAGAGGAAACTGTAATTAATAATAAGCAGATGTTGATGCTGAACTTATATTTTTTCCTTTTTCCTTCACATCCTTTTGATCAGATCGTGACGGTCGATAATGACTTAGCTTTCCTGATGAATACGGGTCAGGACCCACACACAAGGGCCCTGACAGCAGGCTGCTACTGCATAGTTAGAATATAAATAATGCTGCCTTCATTATTATTGATTGAGGAAGGGTGACAAAATGGAAGATGTATGAGTTGTGCAATGAAGATGAGCTTGAAAAAGGTAGACTTTAAATGTATGCAGTATTTCTTCAGGCTTGGTCTATACACATGAAAACCTAGGTAGACGAATCTGCTTCCTTCTAATGAATTTGCAGTCGTCTCAGCCAGGCTGGTTAATTCAGGCAGATTCTGGTCCAGGTAATCGCAGAAGTGAAACCTCACTTTGCCTCCATTCAGAAACCTTCAGCAGTTCCCCTTAATCGATTCTTTGAAATGCTAAGTTTTCATTTCTCTTCTCCCTCCTTTAGGTCCCACCTTGTTTTAAAGATACAGTCAATCTAGGAGGGCATGCCAAGCTGTATTATCCACATTCAACACAATCATAATGAGAATAAACCAACTCCGGAAGGCCATTCCCAGAAATTAATTATCACACAGAAAGTGAACACAATAGCCTTTTGTTATCGTTATAATGAAATCGCTACCACCTTAATACTTGACAAACTTGGCCATGCCTCTGTTGAATTTCTGCTGAATAAACTGGAAAAATATTGCAGTTGACTCTCCAAGGAAATTCATTGTTTAATTCAATCACTATTTTTTTTGCGGAACAGGCGAGTGGAGTATCTAGAGGTGTGAGTGTCCAAGAGTTGCCTTCACTACTAGAGATAGATGAGCGCTCCCCTATTTTTTTCTCTTAATTATCATTTTGTATTCCATTGAAGTATTAAATCTATATTTTGGAGAAGAACTGCTAAGAATTTTAAAAATAAGTTAATAGACGGCACTGTTCCTCGATGCAGGCTGCATACCTTCCTCAGGCGCTTGACAAGCTTCCTGAGTTCGTGTTTAGATACTGAAGCAAACTAGCCCATAAAATACACTGCTGTAAATATAAACCTTTATGAACCTCTTGGGGTAGTCCTTCTAAAATGTGAATTAAGATATTCTATGATTCAAGCCCATAAACTGAAAAGTAGCCATCACCCTGAGTAGTAATTTGCTTTCTGAAACCCCAGTCTATAAATTGCCTTTCGCCTGTGCTGAGTTTGTATGCACGATGTTAACTAATGATGAAGTTTTAAAGAATAGTTTTTAAGAGGAGCCCAAACTATTTTAGGTTATATAGTCTCGACATATCCTCCTTTGGCTTAGGGGCTTTTTTTTTTTTTTCTTGTTTGAAGAGCCACCGTATTTTACTGCTGAGCCTGAGAGTCGGATTTCAGGGGAAGTAGAAGAAACCGTGGACATCGGATGTCGAGCCATGGGTGAGTGTGGAGTGGCTGCAGAACAAAGAGCCATGAATGGGAAGAAGGAAAACAGCCTTTTTCCATAGCAGAATTGCCATCATTCTAGGGAGACACTGAGTGTGACGGTGAAGAGCAGACCTTAGAGAGTAGAACCGTATTGGGGCAGTGACCATGAGTAAAGCATTTGACTTTGCCAGGCTTTTGCTTCTTCTCTTGCAAAGCAGAGATAATAATATTTACCAAGCAGAGCAAAAAAGGAAGCCCCCATCCACCCTGGATAGAGAGGGGACTCTTGTCACATCCCATGGATTCCTCTTCAAAGGCCCTGATTCCACAAGAGTGTGACCCCCATCAAGACTCGTGGCAGAAAATTCTTTCTCATCCATGGGCTGATAGGGACTAGTAACCAGATCCTCTCTGTAGAAAGGGAGACTGGTATACATTTATTTGTGTAGATGTATGGGATACAAGGTAATTTTGTTACATTGCACAGTGGTAAAATCAGAGCTTTGAGTGTGTCTATCACTGGAATGGCTAATTTCTCATCATCGTTAAGTAATTTCTCATCACCCACCCACACTCTTTTGAGCCTCTATTGTCTGTCCTGCACTCTGTGTCCATGTGCACATATGACTTGGCACCCACTTATTAGTGAAAACGCAGTATTTGTCTTTCTGTGTCTGAGTTCTGTCACGTAACTTCACGACCTCCAGTTCCTTCCGAGTTGCTGCAGAAGGCACGATTTTATTCTTTTTTTGTGGCTGATAGTATTTGAATAGGAAATGTTACTGTTTTTTTGCCTTTTTAGCTCTGGGTCAACTTTTCCATTGAGGGTCAGTTAATTCCAGCCTTTGTCCCCATGCCTCATTTATGAGTTACCCACTGTCACCATCTCATGTCGGGCAGCACAGGTGATTACACAAAATCTTCTAGCAGAGACAGGCTTTTAAAGGCAATTTCATTAACAAAACCTGTGTTTGTATTCTGGCAACATCAAGAAATGAAAAGGATCTTTTCTCTTTTGTTTGTACTCATCTGTCCTAAGGATGGTATTTTCTCCTACTCCCTAAGAGCTCAGAGGGTAAGGATGACTACCAGTTTTGTAAATCTTCACAATAGCTCCATAAGAGAGAGACAGTTATCTTTCTGTACCATAGAAAAACCAAGCCCTAGAAAGCATGGTTAAGTAATGTGCCCAAGGCACTGAGCCACGGCACTGAAATGGGATGCTTCTTTTGTGAAGTTATTGCCCAGTGTGTGACCTGTGGGAGTTGCTCATTAAATGCTAAGTGAATAACTTACCTAGGGCCACATGATAATGGAGACAAGACCCAAACAAATCTGTCAGCCACCAAAACAGCCACCAGGCTCTTGCCGGGACACTAGATTCCCCCAGGACCTGAAGCCCTGGACTTAGAACAAATCCCATTTGTCTATACCTGCAACTTTATGGATGTCTTTCATCCCTGCAAGCCCCCTTCCCTGACCCAGAACGGAGTCTTGCTCTGTTGCCCAGACTAGAATGCAGTGGTGCGATCTCGGCTCACTGCAACCTGCGCCCCCGCTGGGTTCAAGCGAACCTCCTGCCTCAGCCTCCCAAGTAGCTGGGATTACAGGCACACACCACCACACCTGGCTACTTTTGTATTTTAGTAAAGACCAGGTTTCACGATGTTGACCATGCTGGTCTCAAACTCTTGACATTGTGATCTACCCGCCTTGGCCTCCCAAAGTGCTGGGATTACAGATGTGAGCCACCACGCCCAGCCCACCATTTTTTATTTCTGAAAATGAGCGGTGTGTCACCCTTCCAGTGCTGGTGGTGGAGGGAGAGATCAACCTTGGCCCAGAGACCCCCCTCCCGACCCTCTGTGCTTTGTACCCACTGCTCCCGGCCCAGGGCTTGGTTGAATAGGAGTTCTGGTCCTCTCAGCTCCTTACCAGCTCACAGTGGCTGCTGTCCACAGATCTGTACTGTTTCTGTTCTTCTCTGCTCTTGCTCTACTGATTCAGCATAGAGGAGGGGGAGAAAAGGGTGAGAGAAGAGTAAGATGAATTTTGCATGGAATTATTTTTCTTACGGTGGTTGCATTGTTCTTTCTTGTGTAAGTGCCAGCTTCTTAAGGCCAACAACTCTGTGAATGTGAAGCTATAAAATATTTAGAGAGCTTATATTTCAGAAATAAGAGTATACAATCCTACGGGGGAGAAGATTTCTGTTATGACATTAAATTGCCCCAAAATAGAAATGCTCCTAGTTCCCTCTGTACTAACAATTATTTTTCAATAAATGACAATCTTAAACTCCCTTTGACAAGAGAATGCTCTTTTTTTTTGCATGACTTCTTCAGAAACTGCTTGTTAAGTGTAGACTTATAAATATAGAGAGAACAGATCTTCCAACACTACACTACCGTCATTTAGTTTACTGCTTTCTTTTAATTTTGACAGTGAAACTTTAGCAGCATTCGAAGTGGTTATTCCTTATGAAAGTGACATCATGTAACTGCTATTATGAGATTTTACATGAATTGGTTTTGCTTTTACCTTGAAATGGATTTTTAAAAATTTCCTGACTTAATGAAAAGTGACAGGAAACATAATTAAGGCAAAGAAGAGAATCTGAGAAGACATTATCTCGAGATATTCTGTGACATTAACTTTATTCATTAAAGTCGACATCTCTCACCTACCTACACAGCATCTTAAATCAAGGGGTTTTGGTGTGCTTTGCACTAAAGCATGTCAAGATGTGTTTTTTATTTAAATTCATTTTCTATTTAGGGAAACTGAGGTACAGAATCATCTTGGGCTAAGTCTAGATATGCCTCATGGAGCAAAGCATCTTTCCTATACCCACAGTGTAATACCTCTTGTGCCTCCTCGACCCTTAACAAGATTACTTAACCTAATAAATTGCTCCTCCGAGACAAGAACTCCATGAAGGCCCATGGTATCCAACCCTTTTGATAGCGGGTGTTTAAAAGATGGCAGTCATTTTCATTGTTAGCTGTCAGGATGAATAGTGATACTGCCCACTGAGCACTCACCAGGTGCCAGGCATAAGTTTTATATTACTTGTATAAATGTACACACATGCACGTATATGCACAAACTCAGACACACACACACATGCACACACATATAAACATGTACACACATATATACAGATGTACATATACACACAGAGATGTACGTACACACATATGCATACACACATGCACATAGATACATACACATAAACACATCACATGCACAAACACACATGCGCACATGTATACACAGATACACATATGTTTACAAACTCACATACATACACACACACACGTACACACACACACACAAACACATCCAATCTTAAAACCTTCTGAAGTTGAAATCATGATTATCATTTGCTTACCTGCACGTCGGGAAATGGAGACAAAGAAAGGGGTAGGTAACTTTCTCTGCCCAAGGTGACACTGTCCACAAAGTGCAGACTTGGGATGTGGCCTGCATCCTGCCCTCTGCCCTTATGACCCTGTGCCCAAGCCCTCCCGCAGTGGCTGATTAGGGCACTGCAGAGCAGAGAGGGCTTCATCTCATCTGAACCTTATGATCTCAGTCTCAGCTGGAATCTCCTTTTTTCCGAACAACAGCATGAGCCTGTGTGGGTTCAGAGCAGAGCTGGAAGGAGCCATGGCCAGGGCAGCCAGAGTTCGCACCCACTGTTCCTCTCAATGCTTCTCTGTGTGGATTGCTTCATCTGCGATGAGAAAAATAGCTCCTTACAGGGTGGTTGAAAGCATGAATAGACAAGAAAATGCCTATTAAAATATTGCCATTCTAGCCATTGAAACAGATGTGCCTCAGTCCTCAAGTCAAGAATTATTTTTTAAATGGTGTTTATTCCCATTCCTACGCAGGGGTCCCCCTTCCCACCCTCCAGTGGTACAAGGATGCTGTCTCCATCAGCAAGCTCCAGAATCCTCGATACAAAGTCCTCGCCAGTGGAGGCCTGCGTATCCAGAAGCTGCATCCAGAGGACTCTGGAATCTTCCAGTGCTTTGCCAGTAATGAAGGAGGGGAGATCCAGACCCACACCTACCTGGATGTAACCAGTAAGTATACCCAGGCCTGCAGCTACCTACCTGAACTGGACAAATCTAATGAGTACACTGAGGTCCACAGCTATCTGGATATATCCAGTGGGTATACCCAGGCTCACAGCTACCTGAACATATCCAGTGGGTACACCCAGGCCCACAGCTACCTGAACATATCCAGTGAGTATATCCAGGCCCTCAGCTACCTGGATATATCTGGTGGGTACATCCAGGCCCTCAGCTACCTGGATATATTCAGTGAGTATACCTATCAGCACAGCCAGACCTACTGGACCAGGCCTTCAAGGTAGAGCTACCCAAAGATTGCCCTGTATGACACACAGAAAATGGTAGTATCTGTTCATCCCCCTTGGGTAAACGGAAGGGGTGATATGGCCAGACCAGGAGAGCCACCTCTCAAGCACAACTGAAGCCTTGGTAGGTCCTGTGTAGAAACTGCTGAGGCCCAGGAGCAGCACGGACACCCAGTCACTCCTCAGCCCTAGTGCCCTCCTGTTCTCAGGTCAGCCTTGCTTCTTCCCACATTAAGCCCTCTTTCTTGAGGAGAAGTAGAAAAAAATTCCCCATATTTTCTGGCCAGAAATGGAAGGACTACTGAGTGAATAGCTCAGTCCTAATCTTTTTCTTTTGATCTTTTTTCTATTTTTTTACATTCATTCTCTATTTTACTTTTATTGAACAATTATAGTTCTTTTGTGAGTTTCTTTTATTATCCCATTAACAGAAATACGTTGGTACTCTGTCTTTGAAAAATAAAATCAAGGTAAAGGTTTTCATTGTATCTGTGGATTTTCTTTTTAATCTCCCATGGTTGTATAATATTGTTCTTCTAAAATGAAGTAGAATCTAGTGATTATAGAATTATACCTTTCATGTTTGTCCTTTTGGGAGCAAAATGCCGATATCCTCAGGGGTGAGAGCTGTTGGAGAAAGCAAATCAATGCCGCTGTGTGCATAGCTGAGGGCTTTTCTCACCTAGAGCCTGAGAAGAGACTGACAAGGTGTGTAGAGAGCCATACAGGTGTTTTGGTAAACTAGGGGACCCTTCCTTGAATCTTGCCCACGGGTCAAATTTGTCTTTCATTTTGGAGCTTAGGAAACCAATATTGCTTCAAGCAGTAGAAATAATATTGGATGTTCAAGTCAGAAGATGAGTCTTGATCGATTAGAATTATTTGAAGCCTGTCTTGCAATCTTGGTCCAGGATGTTCTGGGGCAAGGATCAACAAACTTCTTCTGTGAAGGACCTAATGGTAGATATTTTTGGCCTTTTAAAAATGTGGGCTACTCAGCTCTGCTGTAGTAACCTAAAAGCAGCCGCAATTCTTAGCACATGTGAGTGGCTGTGTTCCAATAAAACTTTATTTACAAACACAGGGTGCAGGCTGAATTTGGCCCCCAGGTTGTAGTTTGCCCATCTCCATTCCAGTGAGAGACTTAGGAATGAGAATAAGGGAGAACCCAGAGAACATGGCTGGGTTTCTCTCAGCCTCAGTTTTCTCATCTGTTAAAATGGAGCTAAACAACTTCAGATTATAGGATTCTCAAGGGCCACTTAAGCTGTTACCATGGCAATCTGTGAATCAATGAACAAATAAATGATTCTAATAATGCTATCTGCTTTGTAGTAAGAGGTTTTTTGCAAAATGAATTTTTTAATTAAAATATCCTTAATGAAAGGAAAATGTGTTTTAAAAAATCATTATTGATTTGCTCATTTAGCAAGCAGCTATTGAGCATCTGTGTTGGGCACTCTGGCTAAGGCTTTGGGGACACAGCTGTGAGGAAGACAGGTGAGGTTCCCATGCTTCCAGGACAGAGGGTCTGTGGAGATGAGAAAGGCAGTGAAGGACGAGATGACTAGCCAGTAGTACTGCAGAAAAGGGGAGTGGGTGTGGTGGCAGAGTGAGCCGGGGGCCTTCCCTGGACAGTGTGGGTCCGGGGAGCTTCTCTAGGAGAAATTTAGAAGGAGCAGGAGTGTGAACTCTTGGGGACATGCACGTTGCATGGGCTAAAGGGGGTAGCAAGTGCCTTGGAGGAATAAGCTCAGCGTGCGAGCAGGTGAAGGGAGGCAGATAGGATGGGGCTCAGTGACACACAGGGTGGCTGTGACGGGCCAGAGGTCAGAGGGATAGGCAGGGGCAGAGGCCTAGAACAGCAGGAGCCTTGAGAACTGTGAGCAGGGAAGGGGCATGAAGGCCTTTGTAGCTTTCAAAGGGCAGCCCGAAGCTGGCTGCCTCAGGAACCTTGACACAGGAGCAGAAGTGTTAAGACCAGTTAGGGGGCTGCAGCATCTGGCAAGACCCCAGACCCAGGTGGTTGCATGCGAGGTGGAGAGACAGGGTCAGCTTCAGGAAGGGCTTTGGCAGTGAAGCTGCTGGGACTTGCCATGGTCCATGGGGATTTCAGCAGTTGCAGGAAGAGGCAGTAGCTGTGTCCTGGGTTCTGTGAGGTCTGCTCACTTATTTGTTTGAGGGGTATCAACCCAGGGACCCCCACAGAAGACTTGAGAGATGCAGATCACTGTTGCATGAGGGGTTCTGGTTAATTGTTATTGGGTAACACAGAGTCAGGTGAGCCCTGCTGAAACCAACAGGAACTCTTGTCATTCCTGGGTCTGACTTGGGGCTGCTGAAGGCCCTAGCCTTCCCCCATGAACGAAAAGAAAGCCAGTGCTGGGAGCTCCTGACATCTTCCAGAAATGTATCTTTACGGAGGTCTTTGAAACCTGGTTATTTTAACTCTCAGAACAGATCCTAGGAAGTATCATCTTGTGGATGATATTTTATATTCAATAATTAGCTTTTATTGTTTTTGTTTTTGAGATAAGGTCTCACTCTGTCATCTAGGCTGTGGTGCAGTGGCACAATCATAGCTCACTGCAGCCTCGACCTCCTGGGTTCAAGCAATCCTCCTGCCTCCACCTCCCAAGTATCTGGGACTACAGGTGTGCACCACCATGCCTGGCTAATTTTTAATTTTTGGTAGAGACAGGGATCTCACTGTGTTTCCCAGGCTGGTCTCACATTCCTGAGCAATTCTCTTGCTTCTGCCTCCTAAAGTGCTGGGATTAGAGGTATGGGCTACTTTTCATTTAAAGAACAAAGCAGTCTTTTGGCTGATCTAAATAAACACCTCTCCTCTCTTTAATGTTCATCTAAAACTGTTCTTCCTGGGCCCCTGCACATTCCCACTTGTATATCTGTTATACTCCAGGTTGTAAACAAAGATAGGTAACTCCTAGGAGACAGGTAATGGAGGGCCACAGTCCCTCCTGAGTGGCTTTCCTTTTGTATTGCTACAGTTATCTCTGCGATTGGTTCTATAAAGCCTGTGCAGGACGCTCTGCCAGGGGCACAAAGCCCTGATCATTTCATTAACTCCTCTTCTCAGATATCGCTCCAGTGTTCACCCAGCAGCCAGCAGACACCACGGTGACCGACGGGATGACAGCCATTCTAAGGTGTGAGGTGTCCGGGGCTCCCAAACCTGCCATCACCTGGAAAAGAGGTGGGTAGTGTCTGCCGCCCACCACAGCATTGCTCCTGTGGTACATAACCTATTGGGCAGTGCTTACTTCTTATCCCCTCTCTGATTTATTTGTTTGTGCATTCATTCAATGAAGATTAAATAACGCTTTATGGCAGCAGTCCCCAACCTTTTTTGGCACCAGGGACCAATTTCTTGGAAGACAATTTTTCCATGGACTGGGGAGGGCTGCTGGTTTCAGGATGAAACTGTTCCATCTCAGATCATTAGATTCTTTTTTTTTTTTTTGAGACGGAGTTTCACTCTTGTTACCCAGGCTGGAGTGCAACGGCGCGATCTTGGCTCACCACAACCTCCACCTCCTGGGTTCAGGCAATTCTCCGGCCTCAGCCTCCGGAGTAGGTGGAATTACAGGCATGCGCCACCATGCCCAGCTAATTTTTTGTATTTTTAGTAGAGACAGGGTTTCACCATGTTGACCAGGATGGTCTTGATCTCTTGACCTCATGATCCACCCGCCTCAGCCTCCCAAAGTGCTGGGATTACAGGCTTGAGCCACCGCGCCCAGCCAGATCATTAGATTCTTATAAGGAGTATGCAGCCTAGATTCTTGGCATGCACAGTTCACAGTGGGGTTTGTAGTTCTGTGAGAATCTAATTCCTCTGCTGAGCCGACAGGAGGGGGAGCTCAGGCAAGAATGCTTGGTGGCTCACTGCTTACCTCCTGCTGCGTGGTCCTGTTCCTAACAGGTCTGTGGCCCAGGGGCTGGGGACCCCTGATTTTCAGAAGGCCTACCAGGTGAAAGATACCAGGGGCACAAGGATACATAGAACAGATAAGGTGACTGCCTTCTAGAAAGGGAAACAGACATTAAAGAGAAAAAGCCTGGATGTGGTGGCTCATGCCTATAATCCCAGCACTTTGGGAGGCCTAGGTGGGTGGATTGCCTGAGGTCGGGAGTTTGAGACCAGCCTGACCAACGTGGAGAAACCCAGTCTCTACTAAAAATGCAAAATTATCCAGGCATGATGGCAGATGCCTGTAATCCCAGCTATTCAGGAGGCTGAGTCATGAGAATCATTTGAACCCAGGAGGCAGAGGTTGTGATGAGCCATGATCATGCTATTGCACTCTAGCCTGGGCAAGAAGAGCAAAACTCCATCTCAAAAAAAAAAAAAAAAAAAAAGAGAAGAATTCTGCAAATGTCACTCTCCTCTACCCAAGCCCTTCATATAGAGTGTCTTAGGCCTCCTAAGGCCTTAAAATGTTAAGCATTGGATGTGAAGTCACTCTGCTAGCACTCACTTTTCCCACTGTTAAGTGGAACTCTTCTTTATAACATTCAGAATTAAGGATCATGGCCTTTGTTTTGTTGAAGAAAGATGCCTCCGGCACTGCATGGTTTCATGGCCTCCCCAGTCAACCCAGAACGCTTCAGCCCACTGTGGCTCACTCAGTTCCTGGGAAGTCTGCCTTTGCAGTTCCCATAGCACCTTCCACAGGGGCCACTGAAGGAGCAGCACACAGGGTCCATCCTGAACAAATCTGTGCTGAGTCTTGTTGATTCACACGGATGAGCTCCTCACACTTGGTGGGCTGTGTCGGGCTGACATGCCAAAAGCCTTATCTTTCTCTTCCTGCTGGAAAACCACATGGCAGCTTCTCGAGTCTCAGAGGTACAGTCCTTGCACTCAGACATGGCTTATAAAGATCTGGGACACTACAGATCAACAAGAGGGCTGGGCTCTTATTTTCTCATATTTTCCTTCCTAATTTTGAAAATAATGGCTTTATATAAAAATGTTTCCAATACATGCAAATATAAAGAAAACTAAAAACTCATCACCCAAATATAGCAATCATGTTCACGGATCATAATTTGTGTAATTAAATCTCTCAATATTGATCAATTAGGAAGTTCTTGGTTTTTGTTATTCTGAACAGTGCTGGCAGATACTGCTTCAATTATTTCTTTGCATACAATTTTTACTTTATTCTGGTTATTTCCATAAATTATTTCCTTGTTGTATTAGTCTGCTCTCACAGTGCTATAAAGACATACCTGAGACTGGGCAGTTTACAAAGAAAATAGGTTTAATTGACTCACAGTTCCGAATAGCTGGGGAGGCCTCAGGAAATCATGGTGGAAGGTGAACAGGAAGCACGCACGTCTCACATGGCTGCAGGAGAGAGAAAGTGCAAACAGGGAAGTGCCAAACACTTTTAAACCATCAGATCTCATGAGAACTGCTCCACTATCTGGAGAACATCATGGGGGAAACCACCCTCAGAATCCAATCACCTCCCACCTAGTTTCTCCCCTAACATGTGGGGATTACAATTTGAGATGAGACTTGGGTGGGGACACAGAGCCAAACCATATTACTTGGTTATGGCTCTAACCACTATCTTCATTTCTTTCAGGTGTTATGACTGTAACACACCTCTTTTCTCTACTGTTCTTTAGAAAACCACATTCTGGCCAGTGGCTCTGTCCGGATTCCTAGGTTCATGCTTCTTGAATCTGGGGGTCTGCAGATCACACCCGTCTTCATCCAGGATGCCGGCAACTACACCTGCTATGCAGCCAACACAGAGGGCTCCCTGAACGCATCGGCCATGCTCACCGTGTGGAGTAAGGAGCAGCCCATATCAGCCTTCTGTTAGCCACGCTTTAATCATCATGTCATCATGGGCTTCAGGGATGTCAACATGCCCTTGGATTTCCTAATTTCATCAAAAAAGAATGCTTATTTTTACAACTAATTTATAGAAATCTGTTGAGTAATTAAATTTTCAGTTTCTAAAGCATAATTAGAAAATGATTTCAGAGATGGCATGGGGGCATTTCAGGAGAGATAGAAGATTGACTTCTTAAGTCAGTGGAGATATTGTACTAAACTAGCTCAAATAACAAAGTTGACATGTTGGTTAATTTGATAAGCTTTTTGTAAGAAAATTAAGAATTAAAATCCTAAAGAAGGAATATTTTGCTATATAATTATTAGGATCAACTAAAACACTTCTAATATATTACCTATCAATGTTTCTTATATATTAGGAGTGAACTGAAAGGAGAATCTTCATTGTTTCTCCAGCTTTTGTCATTCTTTTTTTAATCAATAATACATGTTTTGGAAATGCAGAGTCGTTTTCTGGAGCTTAAGGATTGGACCAAATATCCCCCATTGCCACTTGTTAGCTTACCAATATACTTTCTCCTCTCTGTTTCATCTCAATCTGTACTACTAAAACCTTATTATTTAAAAAGCAAAAGAATGCTCACTCACAGATTATTATAAAGCTATCTAATGAGGAGAGAAAGTTTTAACTTGCTTGAGGGAGTAATTTGTTAAAATGCCATTCTTAAAGATAAACTAAATCATTGTGCTTTATTTCATATTTGTCTAGCATTTTCTATCATATAGTTGGCGTCCACTTTGATAAATGACTCTTTCTAATTTGTTAGGTGTTCTAAAATGATCATGAGTTTAAAAGAAATTAATCCAAATTCCCACTATACTGTCAAGTAGTAAAAAGAAGCTTTTGTTCCATTTAGTGGATGACTCTGTCAACCACTTCATTCATTACACATCTCTAAGTAATAACCATACATTTAACCCATTTATGCCTGAGACTACAGTTTTTTGAATTTTTGCATCAGACCTCAGCAATGACCTTGAGCAGTAGGATATTGAAAAGCTTATGAAAAAGTGGTATCTGAATCTCTGTAGATTGTTCACCAGAAAATTTTGTGTATCTGCTAAAATTCAGCTTATAACAACACTAGCATTGACTGGGATAACACTTTGGTGGCTTACAGAACATCTTCACACACTTTGCCCACTTTAATCTGTACACATATTAGTGGTATTAGCATTCTCTTCCATAGCCAGGAAAACAAAGATACAGAGATGTTTTTCTGGACTCACCATTAGCAGGGTCATTTGGCCTCGAATTTAGCTGTGTAACTCCCAAGTTCTGGGCCCTGTTCCTGGAAGCAGAACAGAGCAGTTCCCCCTTAGAGGTAGGGGTGCTACAGTGACCCATCACACTGGCAAGCTGTAAGTCCCCACCCCGTACTGGCTTGGGGGAAATGGGCAAGTCACTGCCTCTCTGAGCATCCATTTTCCTTCCTGAAACCTGGGAGGAGTAATAGTATAGTCCTCATGAGATTGTCTTGAGAAATAAAACAATTTAAGCAAAAGCACTTGGCAGACTCACAAAGTGTCATGCAGACACGAGAAATGACTAGAATGATGGTCATCTTGGAAAAGAATCTAGATTTTTATGTAAGAGCCTAGAGCCTCATTCACATCTGCATGTGATCGCCCATGTGCATTTACTTCCACCGCGTTTAAGGTTAAAGACGGGTGGGCAGGCTGACTTACTTTGCTGCAACAGTTGACTTACTTGCTTGTTTTTAACTCCCCTAGCATTTCTGAGAGCTTACATTTACACGCATTCTGCCAAGATGAGAGAAAACTTGGGAGGTTGTGATGTCAGATGACCGGTGCATCATCTCCCTGCGGGCAGAAACTCTCAAACTTGTCATTTCATCTGATCTGTGACTTGTGTTTTCTTCAGATCGAACATCCATCGTCCACCCTCCTGAGGACCACGTGGTGATCAAGGGGACCACGGCCACCCTGCGCTGTGGAGCCATGCATGACCCCCGGGTTTCGCTCCGGTCAGCACAATCAGTTACAGTGCTTTGGGGCTTGTTGATATTCTGTGCACTTCTAAAGTGAAGTTGAGATGAGAAGGAAGAATTGGGGGAACTTGGATTTCAGCTGCAGGTCCCTGATTACGGCATCTTCTAGTTGCGGGCACCGTCATTAATCACGCAAATCCCATTTTCCACTCCAGCCTTATGTATTATTTACAGTGAGCTATGTTCCACTTCATGACTTCAGTGCCGCTTTTCATGATTTTTCCTGCCAAGGTTAATACACTATTTGTAAAACGTACTTGTCAGAGGCTGATACTTAATGAGAGAAGAATCCAGAGGATGAACTAGGATTCAGCAGTGTTTACACGGGGGCCATGCCGCTCTCAGGGGGAAGTTCTTTACTCTCGGGACAGTTTCATTGTGAATTGGGGGAGGGAGGCCTGTGCATGGGAGAAAGGCAGCCACAGCACCCAGTGTACTCACAGGAAGGTACGTGAGGAGAAGGAGACTAGACGTGAGGGTTCTCCAAAGGAATGCCAACATCCCATCTTTGTTTGAATTCAGGCCAGGAAAGTAACTGTGCAAAATATGAGACTCCAGGTGAAGGTGTGGCAGCAGACAGGTGGGCATCCCTGGGGAGCTGTTCCCTGAAGAGCAGCCACCTTCAGCCAGGATAGTTGTAAATTTTTGGAATCAGCCTTGAAAATAAAAAAGAAAAATCCAGTCATCAAAGTATTTTCACTCTGGCCTTAGCCCAAAAGGGACACAGTGTGTGAGTCGAATGGGCAACTCAAGATGTCCTCCTGCTTTCCAGGGCCTCTGACTCTGAGCAGAGGGGATGGCTGGGGGCACACAGTCAGCAGCAGGATGCAGAGACTCGGCCATTCTCTTGTGCTTCTTGAGTGGGTGTTTGGCAAATTGTAAATTTCTGTGTCTCCACCTGACTCCCCTTAGTTTCTGAGGGCTCCGAATCCAAGTTTGGTTTAGGTACAAGGGTGCCGAATGCAAAACAAAACAAACAAAAACTAGCAAGTGAAAGATGACCTAGAGCCCCGCTGGTGGCCACAGTAGTGGTGGGAAAAAATTCCTTCCAAAATGATTTGGAGTATGATTTCAAGGAAGTCTGCTTTTCTGCTATTCTGACAGCTCAGAAAGAACCCCCTCCGATCTCTTTGGCTTCCCTGTTGCTTGTTATATGAGATTAAATGGGAAGCCCCCCCTCCTAAGATGGAACTGGATTACTCACTCTCAGGGTGCCCCTCATCCCAGGGTTGCTCTGCCCTGAGGAGCACCAGGCCCTAAGTGACCATGCCAGACGGATGCGGTGCCCGGGAGCGAGCAACCTGTCCATCTCCCTCTTGTGGAATCAGTCCTGTTCTATCTCAGGGTAATTGCTGATAAGTAGTTTGTAAATGTCTGTGCTTATGAATATGAAGGCTTTAAAGAACTGGGCACATTTTGAAAATACGATCAAATGATTGTGGAAAAGAAAAATAGCACTTTCATTCCATATGGCAGTGAGTACTGCCCCTGCCCATGGTCATCTAAAGACTGGGCAGGCTCTCAATTGATTCTGTATTTGAAAAGAAAAATGTGCCAAAATTGCTACAGATAGATTAAATGAGAAAGAAATGCAGTTTAAGGACCATCTGCCAGAATGGCCAAATTTTAAGAAAATATGTTTTTGAAGTGTGATTTTTTTTTTCATGAGTTGGGCAATTCCAGTCTGTGGATTCTTTTAAACAATTGTTGCTTGCTGTCCAGACAATACTCTTGTCCTCTGGGAACATTGCCAGGCCAGGAATGTTAGGTGCAGTTTTCACAGGTGACAGATATGCAGATGGTTCTACAGAGTCTCATTTCCAAAACACAAGGTCTGACAGGCAGGGCCAGGCATTTTCATTGTCCTACTTTTAACCTCAGCATCCATTTTTGTATTATGACCAAGATATCTGGTTGCTTTTCTTTTCGTTTTTATTGGTTTAATTCATATGCCATAAAATTCTCTCTTTTTAGACCAAGTACGGTGTCTCAGGCCTGTAATCCCAGCATTTTGGGAGGCTCGGGCGGGTGGATCACTTGAAGCCGGGAGTTCAAGACCAGCTTTGGCCACGTGACAAAACCCCATCTCTACTAAAAATACAAAAAATTAGCCAGGTGTGGTGGTACACACCTGTGGTCCCAGCTCCTTGGGAGGTTGAGGCACAAGAATCACTTGAACCCAGGAGGTAGAGGCTGCAGTGAGCGTAGCTTGTGCCATTGTACTCCAGCCTGGGTCACAGAGCAAGAATGTGTCTCAAAAATGAGAGAAAGAGAGAGAGAGAGAGAGAGAGAAAGGGGGGGGGAATTCACTCTTTCAACAGGCAGGGTTCAGTGGTTTGTAAAGTCTGTTCGTAAAGTTGTCAGTTGCTTGCTTTTCAAGAGACAAGGAAGCCCCAGTGATTCTGTCCCTGTGGGTTTGTAACTCAAGACACTTTGCTTGGCCCACAGCTATGTTTGGAAGAAGGACAACGTGGTCCTGACTCCATCGAGCACATCTAGGATCATGGTGGAGAAGGACGGGTCCCTCCTCATCAGCCAGACATGGTCAGGTGACATCGGCGACTATACCTGTGATATTGTTTCTGAAGGAGGGAACGATTCCAGGATGGCCCGGCTGGAAGTGATGTGAGTACCGAGACTCTTGGTGTTAGCCAGTTCCCAGCTATCTCCGTTCCTGTGCTCCAGTGTGCTCCAGTGTCACTACCCCTTCACACGTGTGACGCCCACCTTGTGTCCCAAGTCAGCGGTCAGAGGCCAGTGCATCATGCTAAATAGCTATGTATCTGGACAAGGTTTTCTGTGGTTTTGTTCAACTTCAAAATTGAAAAGTGTCCTTTTTGGTGTAGATGGTGTGATCGTTGGTTTTGTCTCCACTGATCCTTTTTGTCATATTTTTCCCGAGGACACTTTATCCTGATAGGCCCTGTTGACCACCCTGTGCTTAAGCAGCAAGTTCAATTTTCCATATCCTTGAGAGCTTCCAATCTGTGAGAAATGCTGGGGTAGGCCCACTGAGGCAAGGTCGTTCCCATGAAAGCCACCTGCACTTGGGGCTTCATTCAGTCCCAGCAGCCTCTTCGTGGGTGAATAGAGACTTTCCACTCAGTCTTTTGAAATCCTGGAAACAGAAAGTGGCTGCCCATTACTTCCAATCTGGACCTTCCTGCAGGGTCTGAAAAGCCCAGGTGGGAAACCATCGATCTCTTCTGTCTCCTGTGTCTCTTCTCCTCCACTCCCCTCTCTATTCGTGGACCAGGAAACCAAAACGCCTGCTGACAAATTTTATTTTTCTCACATGTATTTATTTGCTTTTCAAAAGTTGTGCCCTCTTAATATTCCCTGAGTGCATGAGTACAGAAATAAAACCTGAAAATAAAGAATCCCAACTGAGCACTCATCAGGGCAGCGGCCAACTCCGGGGGTATCCCTAGCCTCTCCGTCCCTGGCCACTGTTTGATGTGCTGGGCATTCGACAAAGGCAATCTTGAGACATTTTCCTCCTTGGACCCTGCCCCCTTTGATACAGGAAAGATTCTGTATACAAAACCATTCCCTAAAAATAGAATTTGAACACTCTGAGTAAAGGAGCCGTGTCTCAGTGATCCCTGAATCCTGAGACTCTAGCTGAGGGGATTAAAAATGGAAAGAATGCTTGCTAAGTGCTGAGCACATGGCTTCTGTGTCTGCCACACGCATATGTAAATTAGTGAACTAACAAACAGCTTTCCTCTAGCCCCTGCTTATTGGATATAAAAGGTTCACGATGTATAGCAGCTAGTCTGGAAAGCCCTGTGGTGCCTTCAGTACCTGAAAAAAATCCCATCCCACCTCCTGTTCTATCTCCTTCCAGGATGACCCCTTGTTCTCCTAGACAACAGAGGTCATTCTGGTTAGTCATGAAGTGGCAGGAGTCCCCATGGCCCTACAGAATCGGCCAGCAGGAGTGGGGTTGGGTTCCTGGTGCTGCCGTTGCAAGGCCGTCACACAGAGGGTCCTCCAGGGAATCAACAGGGGTGCTGGTGCTGCAGCTGTAAGGCTGCCACACAGGGGTCCTCCAGAGAATCACTGGGGGTCCTGGTGATGTGGCTGGAAGGCTGTCACACAGGGTCCTCCAGCTTTTGTGTACGCATGGGGCAGCCAGGTCTTCCCCAGCCCCTGCCTTCAGGCATTGGAGCTGACAACTCTGGGCTCTGTCTGCCCTTCATGCCCTCGCCCCCCATGCAGTGGACTTCAACCATCTGCTATCTCTGCGGCTGGGCTCCTGTCATCCGTGGGCTTCCCCTGAGGTTTCCTGCTCATGCAGCCCTTAGCACTCAGCCACAGTAGCACTTCCTGCCATTCAGTTACCAGGATTCCACCTGCAGCTCTTCCCTGCCCACAGCTGATCCTCCTGGAAGCACTGACCATGCTGTAGAGGACAAGCATGTCTTCGTGGCTCCCTCTCCTCCTGGCACATAAGTACCTTGATGGCACTGTTTTGAATTTTGAGTACACGACATAGTGTTTGATATATAACAGGTGTTCAGTCAATATATGTGGGTTGGTTGGCGCCTGCATGCATGTATGAAGGAATGAATGAATGTGTGTATGTGTCAGACCACTGGCAGGCCACCTTCTGTTCCCCATTCATACCTTGATGCTCACATTCCTTGGTTTCCCCACCATGGGTAAACAGGCAAGATCAGGTCACTCCACCAAAACCCAAACAGCCAGCGCCCAAAGCCCTGGCCCAGCCCTGCTCCTACCTCTTTCCTCCTTCCTTTTAGGTCTCAGGCTGAGGATTTTTTTTTCATTCTGATCATATTGGAGGATATGGCCAGTAAGTTCCTAGGAGCTGTTGTACTATGCACATTTTTAAAGCTACCTTTGAGAACCTTAGAGCATCCATCATTAGTATCAAATAAATAAGTGTTAGCAGTTCATAAAGACTCTGTCAGCAGAAGCCAAATTGCATACTTCCAATATAGTCCATTCTTTTTATTCTGCACAATTTTATGTTCTACTGATTTACATATCTTCCCTACTATTGGCTTATTTTCCTTCCTCTAAGTAAAATACATTTTTCAGCAAATGTTGCTGTCTGTATAAAATAATAGGCTTTCTGTAATGGTAAAACACCTCATCTCTAAATATAGAAATTGCTGCAAATTTGTGATGCAAACCAATTTAAGTACAAACTGGTTACAGAACTTATTAGGAAGACAGTTGTTCCTCATGAATTGTTAGTGCAGTGAATGCTCCTCTATCCCAAATCTGGACGAATTGGGAAAGGTGTTCCCTCGTGGTGTGTCTTTAGATTCAACAGGGCTTGACTCTACAACAATAGTACAATAATAACAGTAGAATGATAATAATAATGACCCATGATGGCAGGGCATTTTGTCCTTCTTAGGTAACTTTCAAACTGAGCCCTGTAATGTTTCCATCATTTACTCAGATAACCAAAAGAAAAAGCAAGAAAGAAGCCTCTCATTGCAGAAGGGAAGGGACTGATAGGTACTTATGGCTAAACAGTGTCCTTCAAAGGAGGCTGAAAGCCTGTTTTCTCTTTGCATCTCCACTTCAATTCAAAGCTGCTTTGTTAAATATAGAAGTTAGGAGCATTAAAAGTAAGCTTTTCAAAAATAGACCATCTGTTGCCCTCATCTCACGTCTGTTTCCCCGTGTTTTGCACTTCGGCACCAAGCTTCACCTCATTAAGCCTGAGTGGAGGGGCGGCCCCCACACTCACCTCACACCCACCACAGTCCTAGCGGGGCTGCTGGCCACAGTGGGCCGATAGGAGCGAGGCCTGCACAGGAGGCCCTGCCTGCCTCTCACTAGTCATGTGACTTTGGACAAGTCACCTCACTTCTCAGCCTCAGCCTCTCACCTTTTAAACTGGGCGTGATATCATTCATCTCAAAGGATGACTGTGAGGATGGCACCCACCCAGGTTTTTAACATCCTGGTGTGGAAGCCAGCTGAGGAGGGATATGTAAGTCCCAGCTCTTCCTGCTTTCTTACCATCTCATACAAGAATGTTGTTCCCCCTTTCCCAGCAGCACCCTGCCTCCAGGCGCTGGGAACTTTCTAGCCCTTTACCCAGCATTATTCTGACCACATTCTGTGACCTTCTAACACTAGACTCCAGATGTGTCTGTTTGCTGTGGAGCCCTCAATGCCTGGACCAGTGCCAGGTATGCAGTAGGAACCTAATAAATGTCTGGGTAAGCCTCACTCCACTTACTGAGCTGAAATGAGAATGAGACAGTGTCTTTTGCCCTACTGAGGAGGACTCCCTAATTCATCCTCCCTAATTTGGGAGGGCTCTGCCTTCATCCCCTGCCTGAGAGAAGAGGCTTCTAAAACTCCAGACGGTTCCATGAGGCAGCCTGTAAATTACAACACAAGTCATCATTAAATGCTGGTCACTCCTTGTTTTAGTAGTGTCTTTGCTCTAATTTGCTAGTGCCATGGGGACAGGAGCAGTTTCCAGGATGACTTCATATTCCCCAAAGCATCTTCCTGTATTGAACACACCAGAGGGCCCAGGCTCCTAAGGCTTTATGGATTGATTAATTGTTAAATCATTTGAAGATCCAATTAGCATTTCATCTCTTCTCCTGAAATCAGAGACTAATTCTCATGAGCCTGGAGTATAGAGAAAACCCAATTTACGGAGCTGACTTGAAGACCCCGTGGCAGTGGGAGAGGTTTCTTTCTATAAAACCACTTCTGACAAAGCCATCACAAGGAGTGAAGAATTTAATACTGTTTCCCTAGAGTTATCAAGCCCCATCATCTTCATCCTCAGAGTGAAGTCAAAGAAGATGGGTTTGACCAAGCCATCATTTGTGCATTAAAGGGCCATTGCTTTTTATATAGAAAAAGTACTTATCTAATCCTCTTCTGCCAGAGCAATTCCCCCCTACAGCCACAATGTCACCAATTGCTTTCTTTTGAGTCTTTTTTAAAACTGTTTTTCTCACACACACCTCGCTTAATCTCCCTCCCGTACAGTTGGGTTTCTGTTGTTGTTAATTTCTGGTATTCCTGTGGTGTCCTGTGCCAGATGGTGATTTTTCCCCTATTCTCTTTAAATTATAAAGTGACTCAGCACTGGGCTTCGCTTCCATTGTTCTCTAAGACCTCTTCCATTTATCAGCCTGTGTGCTTATCACTGTCTGTGAGTCACTCTGCTGATCATTTATCTCCTTTCAAAGTTGGCAGAGTAATGCCTCAACGTAATCTATCCCCATTAGATAAGATTTTCTGAAATTGATTCAGAATATATTAAAGCCTCATTTATCTGTTATTGATGGGTTAGTCAAGGATCTCACAAGCTTCATTTTCTAAATAACCAAACTTATAATTTAAAGAAATAGTAGCCAGGCGTGGTGGCTCACTCCTGTAATCCCAGAACTTTGGGAGGCTAAGGCAGGTGGATCATGAGGTCAGTAATTCAAGACCAACCTGGTCAAGATGGTGAAACCCCATCTCTACTGAAAATACAAAAATTAGCCAGGTGTGGTGGGTGTGTGCCTGTAATCCATGCCACTCTGGAGGCTGAGGCAGAGAATTGCTTGAATCCAGGAGGCAGAGGTTGCAATGAGCCGAGATCACACCACTGACTCCAGCCTAAG